CTGAAAGTTAATTTTACTGTTATGCTGACGACTGCTGTGCTAATAAATATTGAAATGAAGCAGCCTACTGCTCGGTGCGTCACCGTTGCATTGTGGGAAATGTAGTATTGGTGCGTGTAAAAGATCTGCGGGCTGCCGGCTTGCTGCGGTCTGCGGGCCGGTTCTAATAATAAATCAAGATCATCCCAGGGGCCGTAAAAAACCTTCTCGCGGGCCGGATGTGGCCCGCGGGCCTTGACTCTGACATATGTGTTCTAGATGGTTCGATATGACAGTGGCGGTGAGGTGTTAGAAAATGTTGGGATGGTCTTCAAAGGTGTTTAAATCAGCTCCAGGGTTCCTGTATAAACCCTGTCTTAGACGTTAGTGAAGAACCGCTCATGATGTTTCACCTCTAACCCCGCCCCCTCCAGGCGTTTGTCCAGCTGGGGTCTCCTGACGACGCCGAGATGCTGGTCAAATATTACAGCGTGAACCCGCTCACCATCAAAGGACGTCCCATCCGCCTGAACATCTGCGCCAAGTACAAGACGCTCAAGTGAGTAACCTGCTCCGACAGTCACAGCTGAAGGTTCCTGGAGACACGTCAGTCCGTGTTCATCTCAGCTCCATCCAGACGAGTTTGTCCCCCAAACAGACGAGAAGATCAGAGTTCATCAAATCATCATTTTAATAAAGATTTTAACTTTTTTAACTCAGATCTCTGAAACATCTTCAGCTCCGATCATTAAAACAATAATCAATAAAAAATTCACAGTTCCACCTTTTTATCCCAGTTTCAGTGAACCATGTTACTGTTACTTTAAAAAAACACTAAATCATATTTCCCAGAAAAAATGACCCAGATGAGTTTTTTAAATAAAGAGTCTGGTTCATGTTAATGATGAGAAGTTAAACTGATTTTGATGAATTTAAATTCTTTAGTGTCGATTCTCCGTATTTCAGCTCCATCCAGACGACTTTGTCCCCAAAACAGACAAGAAGAGAATTACTCATAAAATCATCATTTTTAAACTTTTTTTAACTTTTTTTGACTCAAATCTCTGAAACACCTTCAGCTCTGAACATTAAAACAGTCATTTATAATAAATTTGATGTTTTTCCCTTTTTATTCCAGTTTTTGTTCATCATGTCATATTTATTGATAAAGTTCTGATCAGTCTGTTGGAGCAGAAAAACTCGACATTTTCACCTCCTTTTCTCGAACCTCAGATCGACCAAATCAAATACGATCAAATTCATGTGTTCATAATAAATTAATTTTATATATAAACATATAAAATCAGCAGATCTCTGTAAGATATGAATCATTTATGAGTGTTTATCCTCCTCTAACTAAAATCTGACCCTGATTACTCTGATATAGGCCTGGACGATATAGAAAAAAAGCATATCGATAAAAAATAAATCATATTGATTGATATCGATAATTATCAAAAAAACATATATTTTAATTGCAGCCCTGGATGTTTTATGCTATTGCTTAATGACCTACTTTTAATAAAGAACACAAGCACTGAATTCAAATCCAAACCTTTATTCAACCACCTTTTTTTTTACCACAACTGAAAGTTTTTTAAAAAAGAACTTTAAAAAAAAAGAAAGAAATCAACTTAAGTGGCCTGAGTGACGTCAGTAAATACTGACCAACATAAAGACTAAAGTGACCAGAAAATCTGATAAATAAATACTTAAATAGTCTTTTGATGAAAATAAACAAAACAAACAAATATATAAATAAACAGAATAGCTTTAGGTGGGAATAGCATACTACCAGTTTTAACTGTGTGGGAAACTGCCCACAGCCTGGTGTCTGAACACTGAAATATTTCTCCCGGGGTCGGGAGATTTATTTTTTTTAATTATCATGTGATTGACTTAATACACAAACTAAGCACGAGAATGCCTGAAGATGCAGAACTTTGACGTCAGATTCTCGACTGTAAAAACTCCCAGCATGCCCGGTTCTAAACATGGACGCAGATTCTCACCCGTGCACACACGCAGGAGCACACAGACTTCTCCTTCCACACATGTCCCACTCTGAGACATCCAGATCTAGTGTAAAGTTTCTTCATGTTCCTTCATGTTTAGAGGATGAATCTTCAGACTCTCTGTTTCTGTCAGTGTGAACAAAAGGCAACAAGGAGGATCTGCTGGAGACGGTCGAGCCCAGAGGAGCAGCAGAGGAACCGGCTCCTCCTCCTTCACCACGGGAACCAGGAGCTCCTCCGGCTCCCTCAGGACCTCCTCATCGTCCAAGTCCAACTCCAGCTCCAGAAGCAGAGAGGAGAAGAAAAGGGAGGAGGAGAAAGTGAAGCCCGAGGAGAAGGCCGCAGTAGAGGAGGAAGAAGAGGAGGAAGAGGCGGTGTCTGGAGTGATGGAAGGAGAGGAGGAAGGTGGGGAGGTGAGAGAGGAGCAGGTAACTAATGGAGACACGGAAGAGGAGGAGCAGGAGACCGCAGAGACTGTAGAGGAGGCAGGAGAGGAGACCGAGGAGGCCAAACAAGAGGAGGTGAGAACTTAGATCTCAGCTGATGTTTCCTGACCCGTTAACAGAGAGAGGACAGAACCGAACCAGAACTTTGGATCAAAGGAAGGAGGTCCTGGTAGACCCGAGTTTGAAGGAGTTAGGAGGCCGTGAGAGAGATGTTCAAGGAGAAGATTTTAGAGTTTAGAGAAGATTTAAGAATTAAAAACTGAGAAAAAGGAAGAAAAAAAAAACAGCAAATATTTCAGATTTAATGTCAGAAAAACAGTTCTAAAAAGTTCTGATAGAGGGACAAGTAAACGGGTCAGAAGTTCTGATAGAGGGACAACTAAACGGGTCAGAGGTTCTGATAGAGGGACAACTAAACGGGTCCAAAGTTCTGATAGAGGGACAACTAAAAGTTCTGATAGAGGGACAACTAAACGGGTCAGAGGTTCTGATAGAGGGACAACTAAACGGGTCAGAGGTTCTGACAGAGGGACAACTAAAGGGGTCCGAAGTTCTGATAGAGGGACAACTAAAAGTTCTGATAGAGGGACAACTAAAGGGGTCAGAGGTTCTGACAGAGGGACAACTAAACGGGTCAGAGGTTCTGATAGAGGGACAACTAAACGGGTCAGAGGTTCTGATAGAGGGACAACTAAACGGGTCAGAGGTTCTGATAGAGGGACAACTAAACGGGTCAGAGGTTCTGACAGAGGGACAACTAAAGGGGTCCGAAGTTCTGATAGAGGGACAACTAAAAGTTCTGATAGAGGGACAACTAAAGGGGTCAGAGGTTCTGACAGAGGGACAACTAAACGGGTCAGAGGTTCTGATAGAGGGACAACTAAAGGGGTCAGAGGTTCTGACAGAGGGACAACTAAACGGGTCAGAGGTTCTGACAGAGGGACAACTAAACGGGTCAGAGGTTCTGATAGAGGGACAACTAAACGGGTCAGAGGTTCTGATAGAGGGACAACTAAAAGTTCTGATAGAGGGACAACTAAAAGTTCTGATAGAGGGACAACTAAAAGTTCTGATAGAGGGACAACTAAACGGGTCCGAAGTTCTGATAGAGGGACAACTAAACGGGTCAGAGGTTCTGATAGAGGGACAGCTAAAAGTTCTGATAGAGGGACAACTAAACGGGTCAGAGGTTCTGATAGAGGGACAGCTAAAAGTTCTGATAGAGGGACAACTAAACGGGTCAGGAGTTCTGATAGAGGGACAACTAAAAGTTCTGATAGAGGGACAACTAAACGGGTCCAAAGTTCTGATAGAGGGACAACTAAACGGGTCCGAAATTCTGATAGAGGGACAACTAAAAGTTCTGATAGAGGGACAACTAAACGGGTCCAAAGTTCTGATAGAGGGACAACTAAACGGGTCAGGAGTTCTGATAGAGGGACAACTAAACGGGTCCGAAGTTCTGATATCGGGACAACTAAAAGTTCTGATAGAGGGACAACTAAAAGTTCTGATAGAGGGACAACTAAAGGGGTCCGAAGTTCTGATAGAGGGACAACTAAACGGGTCCAAAGTTCTGATAGAGGGACAACTAAACGGGTCCGAAGTTCTGATAGAGGGACAACTAAAAGTTCTGATAGAGGGACAACTAAACGGGTCTGAAGTTCTGATAGAGGGACAACTAAAAGTTCTGATAGAGGGACAACTAAACGGGTCTGAAGTTCTGATAGAGGGACAACTAAACGGGTCCAAAGTTCTGACAGAGGGACAACTAAACGGGTCCGAAGTTCTGATAGAGGGACAACTAAAAGTTCTGATAGAGGGACAACTAAACGGGTCTGAAGTTCTGATAGAGGGACAACTAAAAGTTCTGATAGAGGGACAACTAAACGGGTCAGAGGTTCTGATAGAGGGACAACTAAACGGGTCAGAGGTTCTGATAGAGGGACAACTAAAAGTTCTGATAGAGGGACAACTAAACGGGTCAGAGGTTCTGATAGAGGGACAACTAAACGGGTCAGAGGTTCTGATAGAGGGACAACTAAACGGGTCAGAAGTTCTGATAGAGGGACAGCTAAAAGTTCTGATAGAGGGACAACTAAACGGGTCAGAAGTTCTGATTGAGGGACAACTAAACGTTCTGATAGAGGGACAACTAAACGGGTCAGAAGTTCTGATTGAGGGACAACTAAACGTTCTGATAGAGGGACAACTAAACGGGTCAGAGGTTCTGATCTTCTGATGTTGTTTAGTTTGAAATCCTGGATCAGCTGCTGAGTCCTGATCCGAACCCTGTTCTTCTTCACAGGTTTCTGTTGGTGACAATGTCGCTGATGAGAAGCCGGAAGATGTGGGCGGAG